AATCCCTGCTATACTTGAGCCCATCGCTGCAGCCACTGGGTCAATCCATCTCGTTGAGGGCCTTCCCCTTTTTTGCTGACCCTCCACTTTACCAAGTGTGATATCCTTCTCCAGGGACTGGTCCCTTCTGACAATATGACCAAAGTAGGTGAGACGAAGTCTGGCCATTCTCGCTTCCAAAGAACATTCCGGCTGCATTCCTCCAGGAAAGATTTGTTCTTTCTTCTGGCAGTCCATGGTATCTTCAGCATTCTTCACAAACACCACAAAAAGGCACCAACTCCTCTTCAGTCTTCCTTTCATCCTGCTACTGCACTATGGTGTAAACGTAATTGTCATATGCTGAGAAACCAAAAAACACATGTGTCTCACTTTATTGAGATTCTCACTCTATTGCGATGCTCTGGAACCAAACCCACAGCACCTCCGAGGTATGCTGTTGATGCTGTTGGTCCCACTTTCAGGAGAGCTGGCCTCGTGCTCCTTGTTCTGGGCATGACGAGCCCACCTTCCCCCTCATTCACCTTCAGTAGCAAAAAGTAAGACGAAGCAAACCCTGCAAACAAATGCTGTCTTCCCTCGCTGCTGCCTCTGGCAGCTGGTGAGCTGAGCAGGTGGAAGGAAGACTTTAGATTCTGGATGGTTAGCAGTTGTCCTCTCAGCACGTCTTGTTTCAGGAGTCCTTCCTCACCTTCTCAGCTCGAAAGCCACATGTCATCATCCATCTGTAGACATCTGTCAGAATGTCCACTGACATCCAGGTCTGACTCTAAGCCACCCCTCCGTGTCCCGAAGACTTCACCTGCATGGGGCTTTCTCTGGGTTTTCTTCCCAAAACATCAGAACTCCTATCTGGTGTCCGTCTTTCAGAAATTTCTGGCAGGTTTTTGTTGTTCAGCAAGAGGTAAGTAACGCCTGTACTGCCTCATATAATTCTCATGTGAAGCCTACAAGGGAGATACAAATACTTACAAACAATTTGCCTTAGACTTCAGAGCTCACCAGTGTACAACTCAGGGACCAGCCACATGGCCTCTGATGCACAAAGTTTTCAATTAGGATGAAGTTCAACTTGTTTATACTTTTGTTGCTTGTGCTTTTGCTGACATAGCTTAAAAAACTATTGCCAAATCCAACATCATGATCTGCTTTCTTCTAATAACTGTATGATTTTAGCTCTTACATTTACGTCTTTGATCGATTTTGAGTGACTTTCTGTTTATGGTGTGAGGTAGGGGTTTATCTTCAATTTTACATATGGATACCCAGGTGTCCCAGCATCATTTTTTGACAAGCCTGTTCTTGCCCCTATTGAAGGTCATGGCACTCTTGTTGAAATCAGTATATGTACAGTTTTATTTCTGCACTCTCAATTATATCCCATTGATCTAAGCCTATCCTTATGACATTACCACATTGTTTTTGTTTAAATAACTCTAACTTTGTAGTAAATTTTGAAATTAGAACGAGTGAATCCTCCTACTTGTTCTTTTTAAAGATTGTTTTCAGCTATGTTTTTACAAAGTTTTATCAACACACAGCCACACCCATTTGCTTCCATTGTTTAAGCTTTCATGCTACACAGATAATGAGTAGTTGCAAAAACACATATGGCCTGTAATCCTAAAATATTTACTTCCTGACCTAGATCACAGCCAGTTCACACCAGGCGAACTCCAGCACACATGATCTATGATGGACCTGCCTCCCACACATGGTCTGAGACTCATTCCTCTAAGTTCTAGAGTGGGCGAAAAGAGGCCCCGAGTTCCACATCTCATTTAGTGTCCCATTTTCTGTTCATAGGCCGACTCCTGGATACCAGTCTATCTTCAGACAAAGAGGATATCCTGTCATTTCCTGAAAACTCTCAGCAGTTTATGTGCCCTTGGGCATGAGAGTTAAATGACTCCAGTGTGATTGGTGGGGCCAACTTTAGTGCCCCTCTAAGCTTTATTAGACACTACATCCCTCCCTTGTAGAAAGTGAGGGAGCGCCAGCCCTCACCAGTAGAAATGGTCTGCAGGGTCATAACTGCCCCCTCCCCAACTTGTTATGGACTTAGGAAGAGGTAGAACGACCAGTTTTCTAAAAAATTAGAAAGGCCCCTTGACACTCCAGCCTGGTCAGGGTTGGGAGAGGGAGCCACCAAGTGTGAAGGTGGCAGTGCCAAGGAGAGGTGGCTCTACCTGGCCTTTACAATCTCCATTTCTGAAGCAAATGACCTTCATTTATTATGTCATATTTTATGCAGATCAGCTTCAAGGCCCCCTTCCAAACAAGGCTCTATACAAATTTCTACTCAGAAGTCTACCAAGAGATTTTCTGAACCCAACATCACTCAAAGGAGCTCTACTAGCGTAGTACCTAAGGCACTTGACCGCTAACCAAAAGGCTGGCAGTTCAAACCCATCAGACACTCCTCAGAAGGAAGGTTGGGCAATCTACTTCCGTAGCGATACTACCTTGGAAACCCAAGGAGGGGTCGCTGTGAGTCGAATCCAACTTGATGGCACATAACAACAACAAGATCACTCAGAGTTAAGCTCCACATACAAGCATATCATCTACCAGCTAAAGCAGGACTTGACTCACCAGCAGCACTGACAGCAATTGTTATTTGTTTAGCTTTAAAAATGGCTAAGCTGAATTTTACTAGTTATTATACTGTTTATCTTCTCAACCCTCTCCCTTTTTCACAGGTAATGAAAGTAAGCATTATACAGTTATACAGTCCTAATTAATGAAATTTCACTTTATATCACATCTATTAATGTACACTTCATGGAAGTTAAGGTTTGTGTTGCACAGATATTAAATCTTTATCTCAATTACTTGTACAACCTTGCTTGCTAACACAACCTTGCTTGATCAAAGTGAAGATGACTTGAAGCACTTACAGATGAAGATCAAAGGCTGTAGCCTTCAGTATGGATAACACCTCAACACAAAGAAAACAAAAATTCTCATGGCTGAACCAATAAGCAACATCGCGATAAACAGAGAAAAGCTTGAAGCTGTCAAGGATTTCATTTTACTTGGATCCTCGATCAACACCCATGGAAGAAGCAGTCAGGAAATCAAATGATGTACTGCACTGGGCAAATCTGCTGCAAAAGACCTCTTTATAAAGTGTTCAAAAGCAAAGACGACACTTTGAGGACTAAAGTGTACTGTCCCAACCTGTGGTATTTTCAATTGCCGCACATGCATGCAAAAGCTGGACAATCAACAAGGAAGACCAAAGAATTGATGCCTTTAAATTATAGTGTTGGGAGAGAGTATTAAATATCCTATGGACTGTCAGAGGAGCTCTGGTAGCGCAGTGGCTAAAGCACTTGACTGCTAACCAGAAGGCGGGCGGTTCAAACCCACCAGCCACTCCTCGGAAGGAAGGTTGGGCAATCCTACTTCCGTAGTGATACTGCCTCGGAAACCCAAGGAGGGGTTGCTATG